TATTATTGTTATTATACCCTATAGAAACCAGAATGTCTAAATCCTACCTTTTCAGTTTTTAGTATCTTGATATTTCAAGTATTCTCCATTGTTGTTTTGTTTTTTGCTCCCAGGATCCTTGTTGTTGTCTTACAGGAGAAAATTGCTGCTTTTGACAGCTGTACCTTCACCAAAAAGTTCTTTGTCACAAGTAAGCATCCTGTTGAGCTCTGTTTCCCCTCCTCTTCTTCCTGAATGGTTGTGGTTGAATCAAACCCAACTTGATCAGACTTGTTACCTGGCTTAGGTGACCTCCTTAAAAACAGAGTACGGCTTGCATGGTGGCCAAATCTGGGAGCTATTGTCGATCTGTTGGGGACCCAGTACTTGTAAAACCAAGGGGCATGACAAGGGGATTTGTCCTGCACAAGCCCCTTTGAAAGGTATAAAATGGAGGTGACACCCCCCCCCCATGATGCTGGACTCAAATTCCCATCGGCCTCAGGTAGCATGAAGGGCCACAGGTTCATCATTCCTGGTAGGAGAGTTTTGCGAGAGTGGTGTGCTCTTACACAGTGCCAATCCATCCCCATTGGATTATTCCTGTTTGCTTTTTCTGGCTCCCAACCTGTTGACAATCCTCATCCTACTGCTGTAGGAATTAAAACGTGTGTTCAAAGTGTTGCTCCCAGATTTCTTCTGGTTTGAAATGGTTTTCTAATTGGATAAGAGTTGCTTATTCAATGGGACGTGTGCAAAAGGGATGCCATTAAGGAAGTGCACAATCTCTCCCCTAGTATTTCAGACCACTTATGATAGTCCTCAAGCAAACTCATATTGGGCTAGAGATACCTTTTTCAAGGTTTGTCAAACATGGATGTTTAGAGAATGTTTGCTTCCATATAATGGAATCTGACAATGCAGAAATGGCACCTTTTTACAGGTAAGCTTGGTTACCCCCGGCAGCAGGAACTTACTGGCGATGACCCTTTGAATCGCTCTGATCAGAAATACACCAGCGTTACTTAGTTGGCACTTCTGTTAACTTGCCTTGGTTATAGATGGTTGGGCGTTGCTATTTCAGATTGTTTCCTGTTTTATACTGACTTGGCATTATTGGTCTATTTTTGTTTTTAAAAGCATTTTCTACTGCAAGGTAAAAAGGTTGTGCCAGGGCACACTGTTTTTTAAAATATTATTTATTAGTTCAATAAATTTCTGTTCCACTCTTCATCATAAATAGCCCCAGGGCAGTTTACACATATAGAATGCATTACTAAAATTATAAAACATGATATAACAGTTGTGGGGAACCTTTGGCCCACCAGATGTGGCCGAACTACAACTTCCATCATGCCTGGCCATTGACCATGCTTGCTGGTGCTGATGGGAGTTGTAGTTCAGCAGCATCTGGAGGGCAAGAGGTTCCCCTGCATGGGCTATATAGCAAATGAAGAGCAGTACTAAAATCCATACCAAGCAACAGCAGAAAGCAGTTATATTTGACAAGGATTCATCAACTACCTTCAAGTGCCTTGGGGAAGAAAGATGTTTTCAACTGGTGAAGAAAGCTATACAATGTACACACTTGTCATATTTCTAATGGGAGGGAATTCTATACCTGGTGTGCCACCACAGAAAAGGCCCACAGTTAATGCCTGATGTACCCCAGAAATGCTGGCAGGACCCCTAGAAGGGTCTCTTTTGCAGATCTTAGGGCCCAGGCAGATTGATATAGGGAGAGGCACTTCTTTGAGTACTTAGATGCAAAGTTGTTCGGGTTTGCTCAGTCACATGCATATGACAAGTGCAACTCTTGTAAAACTGACGTTATATGGTTGCAAAAAGTATGTGCCAGCTTCCTTGAACTGTCTTCAAGGATGGCCCCCTCCCAGCTTATTACAGCAATAAAAATAGAAGGTTATTAGAGAATGAGTTATTCTGGCCAGACCATCTCAGTCCAGGAACGGTTATAGCTGGCAAACCATAGCTGAGAAAAATGTAATGCATATCACAAATGCCACATGTACTGGATTTAGTATAGGCATAGGCAAACTCGGCCCTCGGGGTGTTTTGGGACTACAACTCCCATCATCCCTAGCTAACAGGACCAGTGGTCAGGGATGATGGGAGTTGTAGTCCCAAAACACCCCGAGGGCCGAGTTTGCCTATGCCTGATCTAGTAGTTCCCCCTCCCCAACTACAAAACTGCTCCGTTAAGGGGAGGTCATCCCTGTTAGGAGCAGATCATCTTCCTGCATCCTGGGCATGTGAACTGCACCTCCTCAGGATTCCATCTCAGTGGGTTGACTCTCATGCAGCCCATTACTGCCTCCAGTCCAGCAGCAGCAGCAACAGTGACAGCACGGCCTCCCCTGATTCTGCTGACAAGGAGAAATAGAGCTGGTTGTCATCCACACATTGATGACAGCATGCTCCAAATCCCTGGATGACCTCACCCAGTGGATGTTAAACAGCATGGGGAATAAGATGAAACCGTGGCAGACTCCACTGCACAGGTGTCAGGTGGTTGAGAACTATTGTGTCATCAGAGGGGCTGCAGCATCCCTTGTTGCTTCTAAATCCATCAGAGCAGGAATCTGCAATGCTGATTTCCCCACTGCCTCTACCCCCAGCTGCAGTGACGTCATCCTGAAGCAGAAAGCAGTGACACATTGGGATTCTTTGATGCTGCCCACACCACAACTGATGGTTGAAAACCCCCCCCATATTTATTTTAGTGTAAACAAGCCTACACATGTTCTAAGCTTGTAGATTTTTTACTAGCCTTCTAAGGGGTTAGTGGCCTACAACTCTGGGCTGACCGTGGAATAGGATAAGGCCCCCTCTTCTGCAACCAGCATAGAAATGCAAGCAATTAGTCTCTAAGCAGACTAGTAAAATAATTTGTAATCTGCCAAGGGGGCTGTCAGAAGGACGGATGGATTGCTGTGTCCAGGGTCGGCCCGCCCATCAGGCAAGGTGAGGTGGCTGCCTTGGGTGGCAGGATCCACAAGAGCAGCAGATCCACTCTCCAAGGAATGTATTGTCTGCTGCAACACTCCCCTTGGAGGCCGGATCTGCTTCCTCCTTCCAGCTCCCCCGCAATGCTGCCTAGACAAATAGGGGGCACTGTTGGTCTCCTCCCACCCCTAAGGAGAAAATGGCAAGGGCTGCGCTTTGGGGTCTCCTGGGTTCTGCAACCACCTTCAACCATTGGGTAAGGATGACTTGATTCCATGCCTTTCGTTCCCAGTGTAGAACTTCACTCCCCACTTCTTTACTTGCCGATGAGAGGCAACATTTTGTGGGTTCGCCTCATGTGCCAAAATGTCTTGGGCTGGCCCTAGCTCTGTTCACCCTTAGCCAGCTTACTGCATTTCTATGTTCCATTTCCAGACAGCACAGAAATCAAGCGGGCTGGTTGGGGAGACAGAAATCAGCCCGCCTGGAATTCTGTGTCACCTTTGGTGTTCACATGAGTTGGTTCTAGTGATGGGGGAGAAATTAGATTCAGCTGGCATTTATAGGTGAGGTTCCCGGATTGCAGTTTCTGAAGCAATCCACAAACCAAAGCGACAACCATACTTTGAAGTCCACACTTCTCTGAATTTTGTTGTGCTGTTCTCACACCAAGTAATGAGTTCAAAAATAAATATACTAGGGGAAAGTGTGAGTAGAAATGCATGTATTAGGCGAAATGTTGGTGGGTTTTCATGAGGACTTAAAAACCCCCCACCTCATGTTGAAATGTGCAGAACTGATGATTGGAAAAGTGATAAATTGGAATGGACAGATTTGCCTGTCCCTAGCTGGTTCTGTATCAACTAGACTGAAGCGTACCTCCAGTTCTTAATGCGGAAAAGAATGACCGTGCACCAAGTTTGAGGAGGGTGCGCTGCTTCTTTTATTTATGCTTTGAGCCTCCTTGAGGACACCACTGGAAAAGTAGGCTACATGTTTGTAAATAAATAAATCCGTGCATGAATTAGCGTCCACATTTGCATGTCCCTGTCTTGTTCTGTGGGGAAGAAATGGGCATCTGAAGAAGGAGAGGAACTGAGGTCCACCCTGACAGAAGTCCTAACTTCAGTTTGTGTAAGCCCCAGATGTTAAATGTAAACTTTTCTGACCTTTTGAAGAGGATGAACTAGGCTAGCCTTAATGTATATTTGTTTGCTTATCGTGGTCCCCTCCCTGCATGCTGGAACCCAAGCTTACTTTAGAAGTAGGTTTGGTTGTCCTTAAAAGGAAAGATATAGCTAAATAAGCTTAGAATTTAATGGCAGGAGGGGGGTGGAAATGCCTTGAATTTACTTAGTCTTTGCATTACATCGTTTTGCTCTTTGTGTGTGTGTGTGTTTAAAGCTTAAAGCAGCGTCCCTTTCTTCAAAGTGGAGAAAAACAGCATTTGTGGAGTAATCTGAAAGTTACCAATAGGTGTCAGTTTCTCCCCACATCATGGCCTTGAGATAACCGAGGGATCCGCTTTCCCGTTTGCTGAAGCCAAAGCAGCAGGGAAACTAGCCTTGATTTCAAGGCATTACATGGTTCTTCCATGGCTGCTAATAACATTTTCTGAATTAAAGTGTGAAATCAGATCTGTATGGGGTACTTCCTTTCCTGCCCCCTCAGATTTTGTGGGGAAATAAAATCCCTTCCTGATTTTATTGCCTTACTTTCTTAGTCTTTTCCTCCACCCCGTGCCCCAAAGTAAGTTGTACATAATCAGATCTCTAAAAACTTCTGAACAGTGTAGAGTTTGAAAGGCCATCTATCTAGCCTTTAGGCATGGAGGCCCACCCACCCATTTACTAACTCACACCCCTGCCCCCTGGCAACACGATGGCTATATTTTACATCCAGTTTCAGAGGCAGCGCGTTGCCGAATTCCAGTTGCGGGGATTGCAAACAAGAGGGTGCAGATGTGTTGATCTGTCAATTTCGGTTTCTCTCAGGTTTTTTGCCCCCCATTTCCGCAATCTTAACTACAGCTTGCCATATTTTGGCATCAGGTTGTAGTATAGCTCAGTCGGCAAAGAGCAGGAGGCTCTTAACCTCAGGGCCATGGATTTGAGCCCCATGTTGGGCAAAAGATTCCTGCATTGCAGGGGGTTGGACTAGGCGATCCTCATGGCCCCTTCCAACTATGATTCTGTTGTTTTCTCATGAAAATCCACCAGCGTTTTAACTACTTATTTCTCCAAATATAGTCGTACTTTGGTCGTCGAATGCCTTAGTACTCGTACATTTCAGCTCCTGAACAATCGAAACCCGGAAGTGAGTGTTCCGGTTTTCGAACATTTTTTTGGAACCTGAACCTCCGATGGGGGGTTCCGCGGCTTCTAATTGGCTGCAGGAGCTTCCTGCAACCAATCAGAAGCCATGCTTTGGTTTCCGAATGTTTTGGAAGTCGAACAGACTTCCAGAACGGATTCCGTTCAACTTCCAAGGTACGACTGTACACTCATTTTCTGTTTGCAGATTTGCCTCACGTGCAGACATTTGCCAAGCAACATCCCTAATGTAATTCCTTTTATAAAATGTTATTTTCAACAGTAGATGCCAGCGTATGCACTCTTCCCCATAATCTAGCTCAGTGTTGTCTACACTGACTGGTAGCGGCTCTCCAGGGTTTCAGGCAGGGGTCTGCCTCACAGCCCTATCTGGAGATGCCGGGGATGGAACCTGGGACCATCTGCATGCAAGGCAGATGCTCTACCAATGAGCTACAGGCAGTGTGTGTCTGTGTGTGCAAGTAGAACTTCCAGAACCTTTAGAAAGGAAAACTCTAGGGGGGGTGTGTGGAGGGGTAACTGTACCAAACTTGGATATGGGTGCCTCAAATTATAACCAGTTTGTGACCAACTCTTCTTCAAAAGTTTCAGATTTCAGCAATCTTCCAGGTTTTGAAAACTTTTTAAAAGTGACATATATGCTTATGGTCTGAGCTGGAGGTTTCCCCCTTTAAAACTTTCTTTATTGTAGTTTAATCAGGAATTCTTAAGCCTGTTTAAAAACAACAACAACCCTGAGATCTCATTTGATTTTTGTAGTCTGTGTTCAAGGGGACCGATAGATGCTGACAGTTTGATGTGGTGGCAACGTGGTGCAGTCACTAAGAATTGCTGTTGTTTGACCCGAAGAGCGGATTTCTGAAGTCTCCCACTTGCTTTAGCTATGGATTTCCACCTTTGGGGTGGGGTGGGGTGGAGAATAGAAGGGGCTCTATCCGTACGAGATGCTGAGCTGCAGTCTTGGCACACATCCAAACATTGACAAGGCTGTGGTACCACATCAAGCAACACTAGCTCAGTGCTAGAACAGCTGAGTTGTGTGCAGAAAGCCCCTGGTTCAATCCTTGGCAACTTCCAGTGGAGGTGGCAGAGAGATTTCTTGTCTGAAACCCTGGAGAGCCGCTGCCAGTCAGTGTAGACAACACTGAGCTAGATGGACCAGTGGTCTGACTTGGTATAAGGCAGCTTTGTACATTCCTTTGCTGGAGATGTTCCTACCTGGAGAAGTCAGGAACAGAATATTTTCCATGCAAAGTATTCCGTCTGCCACTGAGCTCTGGCCTTTCTTCTCAAAAACTTCAAGTCCTCGTGGTTCTGAATGAATGAATGATTAATTAAAAGAGGGACATAGGCAGCTGAATAAAGGATAAAATAAAAGAGGAACACAGAGTCAGACCATTGGTCCACCTAACACAGGACTCTGGGGTTTCAAGCATTCCCAGCCCTACCAGGAGATGGCTAGATATCAAATGTGGGACCTTCTGCATGCAAAGCATATGTTCTGCCCTTAAGGGGGTGTGTTACTAGATGGGGTGGCCACCTGACGAGACTTGATCCCGTGGCTTTAAGGCAAGAAGTCAATTGCCTTAACCCTCTCTGATTGCCTGTTGTTAATTTATGGTGCTTTTTCCTATTCTTCCTCTGCCGCTTAATGGTCCTCTGAAGAATATCCCATTTCCCCTGTGGTGATTGGGATGGCTGGAGGAAGTGGGGAAGAGGCACAGGGACACATTTATCAAAAGTAAATAAACGGCTGTTTGGTGCATCAGTTTCCTGCTATGACAGTGCCGGCGCTTCTGCCAACTACTCATCCTAGAAGGGGGGGGTGGCTCTTCTCCCCTTGGAAGAGACCAGGCGATTTGGACATGGTGATACGGCAGCAGTGGCTCTGTGTCCAACAGCCAGTGCTGGCCCCACTTTTCCCTGACTCTTGTCAACCTCACGTTGATGATGTGCTCTTAGTCTCCGGGGAGGAAGACGATGGCTGAAGCCATTATCTGGCACCAAGTTTCTATTGATGCGATACATCTGAGTCCCCAAAGAGGCTCTTTTCTTAGAGAATTTAGTCAGTCTGCTTACTGCGTTCTATATATTTTTTAAAAAACATGATGATTCTGCTCTTGATATGTCAAGATTGTGCAGTTCCATGGTTTATTAATGCAGGACTGGTGCCGGACTTTTGTGTGTGGGCGCTAGCAAGACCCCGCTGTGAGTCCCCCCCCCTCAAATGTCCTACGCCAAAGATGTCTCAAGAATTCATGCTGCTCACACTGAGAACCACTGTTTTGAATTCAGCACCTTACCTTGAATTGTGCCTATTGCCATCATAGAAGCCTAGGGAGCTGTCCTGTGCTTAACTAGCTCAGTATTGCCTCCTCTGACTGGCAGCAGGTCTCCCAGGGGGCATTCCTAGCTCTACCTGAAGAGGCCAGGGATTGAAGCTGGGACTTAAGTATGCAAAGCAGATGCCCCACCACTGAGCTACTGTCTGTGCCCTAAAAACAAAGTAAGAGTCTAGTGCTCATGGCTTTAAATATAGGGCTGACTTAAGAACATTTTGTTGTTGTTGTTGTTGTTGTTGTTTAATCGTTTAGTCGTGTCCGACTCTTCATGACCCCCTGGACCAGAGCACGCCAGGCACTCCTGTCTTCCACTGCCTCCCGCAGTTTGGTCAAACTCATGCTGGCAGCTTCGAGAACACTGTCCAACCATCTTGTCCTCTGTCATCCTCTTCTCCTTGTGCCCTCCATCTTTCCCAGCATCAGGGTCTTTTCCAGGGAGTCTTCTCTTCTCATGAGGTGGCCAAAGTATTGGAGTCTCAGCTTCACGATCTGTCCTTCCAGTGAGCACACAGGGCTGATTTCCTTAAGAGTAAATAGGTTTGATCTTCTTGCAGTCCATGGGACTCTCAAGAGTCTCCTCCAGCACCATAATTCAAAAGCATCAATTCCTCGGTGATCAGCCTTCTTTATGGTCCATCTCTCACTTCCATACATTACTACTGGGAAAACCATAGCTTTTACTATACGGACCTTTGTCGGCAAGGTGATGTCTCCTTGACATTAGAACATTAGAAGCTGCCTTATAAAGAGTCGCTCCCATGGTCCATCTAGGTCAGTATTCTCTGCATGGAGTGGCAGCAACTCTCCAGGTTTTCAGATGGAGAGCCCTCCCAGCCCTACATGGAGATGCTGGGGATTGAACCTGAGACCTTGTACGAGGAAAGCAGACGCTCTGCCACTGAGCTGCAACCCTTCTCTGTAAACCCCCAAGGCTCAGGTATAGCATGCTCTTTTATGTAGCCAGCACCCTTCAGTAGCTGAGCAGTTGCATGTGAACACTGTTTTTTTGGATGCCTCCCTGAAAGGAAGACAGAGCGCTTCTGCTGGCTGGCCTGCTCGGAATTAAAAGCCTTACCAGAGACGGAATAGTTTGCCTTTTAAAGTTTGGCCCGTCTTGCAGGGGTGAATGTTGTTGCAGCTTCCCGGTGCAGCTGTCTTTGATTAGGAAACCACTTTAAACTCCACTTGCCCTGTTCGTTTTGAGTTTTGAAAGGCTTTGTCACAGGCAGCCAGGCGGTTGGAGGATGTCTACACGCTGAGCGCGCCCTGTCTGCTTCTAACACGGTTTTCTAGACATGGAAACACTCCTTGGCGAAAAATAAAATACACACAATACACTTTCCCCCTGAATTAGGTTGGAGGTGCTCCTGCACCTGGAAAGGTTTGCTTCTAAAAAGCATGAGAGTAAGAATTGGCTGTCGCCAGGGTAGTGCAATACGCACACACATATCTCAGGGGTTGTCTTTGGCTGGTCATCAGACCAAAGCCCATGGCGCTTACTTAAGGCCAGAGCTCCTGCCTGAAGCACAGCAAGACCAGGCCTGACTCTAGCATGATCCTAGAATTGTAGAATTGAAAGGGATTCCAAGGGTCATTTAGTCCAACCCCCTGCAACTCAGGAATAACCATTTGGTTGCATCTGTAACATACGTTTAAAGCGCATTCTCTCCCACCCCATACACCTCAAGGAAACATGGGAACTGTAGTTTGTTAAAGGTGCTTGGAAGTGTAGCTCTGGAGGTAAACTCCCAGGATTCTTTGGGAGGTTGTTGTAAATATGCCTTAAATATATGGTGTCTGACCAGTGGACCTGTAACAAAAAGTTACAGTGCATCCTTATATCATAGCAGGAATCCTCCTGTTCAGGGTTGCTTTCAGTGATACCCTTCTCCAGGTTACACCATCCTGGTCCTCTCCTTCCTGACAGTTCCGTAGCTGTTGCATGTGCTCAGTCCTCTTTGAGCCATTTTGCTATTGTTTGCCCTCCTTAGACTTTATTTTTATTTTTTTAAGTACTCTTGCAGACTTTGGGGCTCCCCTGAAGGGGATTCTCAAACAGATCTCTCTCTGCTCCGCTTCTTTTATGATGTGTCTAGCCTCTTAGGTAAGTGGTGAGGACCGTAGGAGCCGACCCCTAGGGGCCAAGGTTGCTTTGGCTCTCCAATAAAATATTTGAGGGGGCCAGCCCCCCACAAAGTTGAGAGGAATTCCCATTCAAATGGTGTGTGTGTGTGTGTGTGTGTGTGCGCGTGTGCGTGCGCGTGTGTGTGTGCATGCATGCATGTCTGTGTGTGTGCCACATCATGTGATTGTGCAGGGCAGGACTCACCTGGGCTCTGCCAATATTTTACTAAAATTGGCACCCCTGGTGAGGACTCTCAGACTTGGGAGCTGATTGTGGTGTTCCGGGCCTCTCCATCTCTACCCCAAGACTCCCTGTACACCATCGCCCTCCTAGGCCACAGCCATCTGGCCTTGCTGCACAGTAGCATGCTACAGTAAGAGTTGCAGCCATTGCCCAGCCCACCTCTGGCCCTGCCCACCACTGGCATGTGGCCCCAGGGAACCTGCTCACAAGGGGAAGTGGCCCTCTGGCTGAAAAAGGGTTCCCCACCCCTGCTTAGGGAGAAGAGGAGTTATAAGAGGCTGAAAAGGAAGAAGACGGGCTTGCTCTAATGCACCACCCCCAAAGACAATGTTATGGGGGGTGGGGGAGAATGCTACTGGGGTAGTGGTGGTCTAAGGCACAAGAAAGTCCCTGGCCAATAGTCCCTGGTGTCTCCAGCCCCAAGGATCCCAATTGGCAGGGCTGAGAAAGACTGTCTGCCTGAGACCCTGATGAGCCAAGTAGATAATCCTGGGGCTAGATGAGGGTGGCTGGGTGTTCAGGAGAATGTTTGGATGAAGTCTCTTAGACTTTGGCTTCGTCTGGTTCTCATAATGCCTTTCCAAAACTGCACCAGGAATTAAGGGTCTCCTCTTGGCAGGGTCCGGGTTGGAGACCTTGGGGAGGAGGTCAAGGGCAGATCTAAACAAGAGGAAGTCTTCAGAACAATGGAAGATGTGACGGCTCTGGGAGAGTGGTGGCATTTCTATACAGCTTTTCATCTCCAAGGGGATTCTGTAAACACATTTGCAAGCTATATTACTTCATAGTCTTTATAAACAAGTTTAATTTATCCCTTTCTTTTTGGAGGAACAAACAAAATATTAGTTGAAAGGATTCGGCAATTTGTTTTTTTCTGTCTCCTGGGAATAAACAGTGTCATGCAACAAAAGCGTCCCCTCCTATCCTTTATTTACCCTGTTCCCATTCTACACCTCTGTTTGTCTTGATCTGTTCCCATTTTGGTTGGATTATCTGGCTGATGCAGGGTGATGGCGCCTTATGGGGAGAGCATAAAGACCTTTGATCTTGAACATGTTGATGTGCCTCTGTGTGTATAGTTCTTTCTTTCTTTCTCTTTCTTCTTAATGTTCATGTGATTTGATTAACTATAGTAGTTTGGTGGGGTTTATTAGTAGTTCTGTGGGCGCACCCGACATCTTAAGGGGCCACAGCTCGGTGGCAGAGCACATGCTTTGCAGCCAGACAGTTCATAGAAGCTGCTTGCCTTCACCCATGCTCAGTCTACTGAGCTCCTGCAGCTTGGTGGTGGGGCACAGGTCTCATTTTCAGCTTCCAGTGAAAAGGATATCAAATTAGCACCATTAGGAATGACGTCTCCCTGAAACCACAGAATGCTGGACTGAATAGTCCAGTGTACCTGAGCTCAGCACAAGGCATGAGCCTAAGAGCATGAGTATGACATCAGAATAGCCCTGCTGCATGGGCGTAGCCAGGATTTATTTTAGGAGGGCAGGCATTATGTTGGGGGCAGAACCAAGTATTTAGAGACATACATACTCCCGTGGAGGCAGAACCTGGCCATTGTGGCTAGGAGATAGTTCAGTAACTAGTCCTGCATTCTGTCTTCAGCAGCAACCAGCCAGATGCCTCTGGGAGCTTTCAAGTCATGTGTGAGGGTGATGCCTTCTGCTATTGCTTGTGCCTCCTCCAGCATTTGGTGTAGGCTGCCTCTGCATACGCACGTTCCTTGCAATTTCATGACTAATAACCATATAGTGATACATTATCCACAGATTGTATTCAACCAAGTGTTACCCAGAGTAGACCTATTGAAATTAATGGACCTAACCTTGTCCTGTTCCTTAAATTCATGCCTTCAAACACCCAATTCTCAGATGTTGAAGTTAGCTCTCAATTCTCAGATGTTGAAGTTAACCCCACCCCCCAGATGTAGACATAATGCTAACCATGGTTTGCTACAAAAGGTGGTTCCTTTGTGATAGGAGAGAGGGTTAGAAGTCTTCTGGGTGCTCTTGCTCTCTTGACCATGGTTGGGAGATCAAGAAGTGTTGAGTACCCACTGGGCTGGGAAGAGGCAGACAATTATTTTTATTTCTTTTGAAAAAGAGAAACCAACCCACTGACATGTTCATTAGAAGGGATGGAAGAGAACAGTCTACTGAAAAGGCTTTTTCAAGAAACCCAAAACCAATCTAAGTGGGACAAGATGAAGAGAATGATAGATGTCATTGGCATATATTTTAAAAGCCATATAAAATGGATATGGCAAGAAGGGAATTGTATAAAAGTATCTCTCCCCTCTTCCCCTTGTTCTGTTTGGGGTAAAGAGGGTATAAGTCACTTTAACAGTGTATCAGCTTTCCTTGCCTATTGAGAGGATGGGTCAAATGTCCCTTTAAGCTTATGTGGGGCCAATGTAATGATATATAGGACAGTCCAAACTGGAGACAGTCTGTGGCTTCAGACCTCCTTGAAGCAAATCAGTGCTCCCCCCACCTCCCCAAATGTACAAATCTGAAAGGCTTTATGATGAGGACTGCTATTCCTCTGAGCAAGTAAAGCAGGCTAAATGACCCACCATTTTTTTAAACAGCCTTGATAGCCTACTGGGAAGCCTGATGGGAAGTTACTCAGAGGGTCTGGAGCAGAACTGATCCCAATGCTTTGACAAGCCTTGAAGTTATGAAAGCTTGAATACTGGGTAGGGGTCGTACATGGAAAAAGAGAAGGCTGTGTCCAGTATTAGTTATACTCAGAGTAGACCCGTTGAAAGTAATGGGCATGACTAACTTAGGCAAATTAATTTCAGCTGGGTCTCCTCTGAGTAAAACTTATTTGGATGCAGCCCATCACCTTGTGCCATTCCGTTCATGGGACAGAATAACATAATTTGTGTTGATCAAGTTGCATGAATTATACAAAATCCTGGAGTCCAGTGACTGCCATGTTTGACTACAGCAAGAATGGGAAACTTCTTTTTCTGCCTGAAGGCCGCATTTCCTTCTGGGTAACCTTCCAAGGGCTTCATGCCAGGTTTGGGCAGGGCCAGAAACAGAAGCACTAGCTGGGGCTGTTGGGAACTGGAGTCCAGCAATAGCTATGGTGCAGGCACAGGTTCCTCATTCTTGAACTAATGCAGCATCCTTTATAATGGGAAACTTTGTGGCTATACCTTCGTTTAAGCTCAAGTTTTCCAGTGGAAAAAGGAAACTGAGATAAACACCCATGCAGCTTCTGGTTTCCCCGGTATTTTGTTGTTCATAAGAAAGTCCGTTCCAGTATTCTCAGTGTTCCTTTCCCCCCAACAGGCTGCTATCCTTGCCCAGGGCCAAACATGAACCCCATAGCTCTAGGAAGCCGGTGGCTGGCTTATGCAGAAAATAAGGTAAGAACTCAAATGCTTAAAGGTACATTTACTAAAGTTCTGTAATTGCAGGAACGTTGGCAAGGATGTTAAGCCTCCTAGTGGTTCCCTTGCTATCATAATTATGATTTATTATGCTATCGGCGTGTGTGGTGCTTTGTGACCTAAGGAGCTTACA